ATAAACAAAGATCTTTTATTTACTAAATTACTTGTTTACGTATACTTTAACTTATCTACTACTTACCACCTATCAGAAAATAGTTTTAGTAGGCTAAAAATAGAATTTAACTTTTCGCCCCAGGGTGGGGCGAAAAGTTAAAAAAAACAAAATTTTCAAAAAAGGACAAAACATGTATTTTTTTCAAAAATATCAGGAACTTTTATATTGAAAGTTGTAGAGGACAAGTTGCCCTACAATATTGATATACAAATATTTGCATCTAAGCGGCTTATATTGCCAAAAAAAATCATTTATGCAAAATTTAACTTTTCGCCCCAGTCTCCCCTACCCAAAAATGGTACTAAATTAGTACCTTTCTTTTTACAGTGATAAGTAACTTACTTACTAACTAACTAGTTGATAATTTTATTTTCATATTAATTAAATTAAATTATCATTTTTCATCACAGTTGAAGAATTATTACAACATATGAAGTTATCTTCTGCTGTTGAAGAGCAAGCAGATATTTCTAAACCTACAAAAGAGCAATCTGAAGAAGCACAATCAACACACGGTAAATCGTTAGGTGTTAAATTAACAAACTTAGAAACTTTATTACTAATAAACTTACTAACTACCTTAAAAATAACTTACTGACTAATGTACTAATTAATGAAATAAATTCTAATTTACTAACTAAGTAGCTTACTAATTTTCTAACTAACGTATTAACTTACTAACGAATTAACATACTAACTAACTTAGAAACATAATTACTAATTAACTTTCTAAATAATTTACAAACTAACTAACTTACTAATTAAAAATCTTAGTAACTTTCTAACTAACTTAAAAACTTAATTACTAATTAACTTATTAACTAAGTAACTTACTAACTGCCATACTAAGTAACTTACTGACTATCTTACTAACTTACTAACCAACTGTTTGGTATATTTGGTTTCATATTAATTAAATTAAATTATTATTTTTCATCATAGTTGAAGAAGTTTTTGAACATATGATGTTTTCTCCAATTGTTGAAGAGCAAGCAGATTTTTCAACACCAATAAAAGAGCAATCGGAAGAATCTCAGCCAACAGACGGTTAACCTGCTAACTAACTCTCTAATTTACAAACTTAATTACTAATTAACTTACGAACTAACTAACTAACTTACTAACTACCTTACTAAGTAACTTACTGACTAACTTACTAACTAACTTACTAATTACCTTATTAAGTAACTTACTTACTAACTAACTGGTTAATAGTTTTAGTTTCATATTAATTAAATTAAATTATTATTTTTCATCACAGTTGATGAAGTCTTAGATCATATGATGTTTTCTTCAATGGTTGAAGAGCAAGCAGATTTTTCAACATCAACAAAAGAGCAATCTGAAGAAGCTCAACCAGCAGACGGTAAACCTGCTAACTAACTCTCTAATTTACAAACTTAATTACTAATTGACTTACTAACTCTTACTAAATTACTTAAAGAAATAATAACAACAAGAATAATAATAATAAAAAATTAATATAATTTTAAAGTTATGTTGGTAAACGGAAAGATTGTTATTAATCCATTAAGAAGATTCGAATTTCTTGACTTAAAAAACCGGCCAAGAGAAATGGTTAGGACACTTTTGTTAAATTTAATTGGGCGTGAAGAATTGATGAAATTGACAGCATTGGGACTTAAAAATGGTGGCAATAATTTGAAAGGGATACCAGTAAACATAAGAATTGCTGTTTATGGTATATATTTATATTGATATTTTAATTTTTTAAATATATGAATACATTGACAATAACAAATAATTATAATAATAATAAAATTATGATAATAATTGCTAATTAATTTATCATAACCCCCGCGCACCCTGCTACGCGGAGCAGTACATTGCGGGGTTTTCGTATGAAATTATCTAATTTACACATCACTTTTACTTAAATACGTATGCAAAGTAAGTATTCAGTTAATATTGTAACAAGCTTACGTGTCAAGCTTGCAGCAAGTTTGCACGGCAAGCTTCATATTATGATAACTATACACTGAAAACAAAATTTATTTGATTCAAATAACCGATTACTTAAGGGAACATTCATAAATTACGTAGACCAATTTTTTGAAAATGTTAACCCCCCCCCTCCCCCATGTAGGCGCATTTACATGTATTAGCGCCATTTTTTCCTCTTACGGTAGACAATTTCTTGACCCCCCTCCCCCTAGACGTGCTACGTAGTTTATGAACGTTCCCTAACTATTATTAATTAAATATTTAATTCAATAAAATAATATTTTTTAAATTCAATTCAATTGTATTTTCTTCAAATACTGAAGTTATTGATTTAAATAGGTACCATTTAATTGACTCCAATAAATAATATTTCATTTATGTAAATATTAAATTGATAATAGTTAAATAATCGATTGTTTGAATCAAATACATTTTTTTCAGTTTAGTTTTTTTATGCTGAAATGCCTTAATGCATAGAAAAAAACAATTCATAATATTCATAAAATAAAAATTTTCACGAGGAAGTAAAGTGTTTATGAAACTAACACATATTTTAGCTTTAACTTTACAGCAAAATTTCTCATTTACTTTGTATTTTATGGTTTAGATTTCATTAAACATAATTCAGATGGTCTGAGTTATAAAGAATATATTACAGTCATAAATGATCAATGCCGAACAATTAGGAATCCAAAGAAATCCAAGAAGTAAAATTTATTTTGAAAATTACACCGTTAATCAATATTACGAGACAAAAAAATTAGGAAGAATATAAAATAAAATTAATTAAGTTTTGAAATTACTTTGGTATTGCACTCTTCAATGGATGAAGAGGACAGATTGGACGAAATTTTAGAAGATTCTGGAATAAAATAATTAATCTCGAAATTAATAGTTAAAGTACTGAAAAAAATCTTTATGGTATTATTATTACTGTGCTTAAATGTTTTACCGTTATAATAATGCGTGCATTTTAATGTTATAATTTATTGTTGTTTAATTTTTTTATTAATTATTAACGACATATAAATGTGATAAATAAATAAAAATGAATAGTTCTTGACGGATTATGAAAATTCAATAGTGGATGTCGTTAAAATATTGTGAACTTAACTGCAAATCTATTAGCACTCCTCTTATAACATTTTTTAAATAGGAAATTACTACTTTGGACTTATTTTTTGAATTTTTTGTCCTGGTTAAAAAGTCCAAATAAATTAAAAATACAATAAAAAAATTGAGATATAAAAATTTAAATGATTATGCCTTGAATGAAATTGTCCTTATTTCAATTACTCATTTATTTATCTACTGAAAGTATTTTACGACTACTCCGAGCTGAAAATGCGGAAATTCCTGTTTTTTCAAGTTGACTTTTCTCAGGAAAAAAGTAAATCAATTATTAAAACAATTCTTTGATCAGCTATTTTGGAATTTATTAAATTTTTTAAGGCTAAGTACTTTTTCAAAAAGATTTCTTTACTGAAAATATTTTACAACTACTTCGAACAGAAAATATGGAAATTCCTGTATTTTATCATTCTTTTTATTTAAAAGGAAAGTAATCTGATCAAATTCTAAGTTTGGAAAAATATAATTCAGCAGAATTTAAGTGAATTATATTTTATTTAATTCTAATGAGTACAATTTTATAGCGCAAAATTAATTTTTGTAAAATTATTATACATTGTCTAAATATAATGCGAGTTTTAACGTAGAAAGTTTACTGTGTTGAATTTTTTATAGAATTTAATTGGGTATAATAATCGGTTCCACTCAACACCTGTAATTAATTATTAATTAATTTATTTATTAATTGCTATCATAAAGGAAGGAGAAAAAAACAATCTATTAAATAAGGGGTTTTGTAGCAAAACTATGTTAAAAAAAACTAATATTTGAGACTTATGGTTTTTATAAGGAAAAATATATAAAAGATTTTCAAAAATTTTTAAGAGGACGACATGCGCCTCAGATTGAAAATGATCTATCAGGTATATTTTTTCACGTGTTAAAATTTTTCAAATAATGTTTTTTGATAAAATATTTAAATTTTTTAAAGCTAATTAAGGAGGAATGGGACAAAGAATATGACAAAAAGTTAATGACGTTTAGAGAAAATCTCTATTTTGAAATTAACGCAATGTAGAAAAGTTTAAATATTAAGAAATAAATATAGTAATTAATTATAGCGAACATGATAATCATGATTATCATGTTTGCCAAGTAGAAGGTAAAGAGATTCAATTTTTTCGAAAAAATTCCAAAAAATGGCCCTGTCCACCATACTCAACTTTTACATAATTATGGTGACCTATAGTAATATATGTAATAAAATATTAAAAAATATAATAATAAAAATATAACAAGTTTTTTTAAACAAAATATTGAAATATTCATAAATACACATTCAGTAAAGTATTGAAAATATACCGGTATTACATCAGTTCGTATTTCGAAATTGACCATTGCCGCGTAGTAATTTTACAATTTTTATTTCAGCTAGTGAGACTTGAAAGCATTTAAGATTTGAGAGTTCCATGCGAGCGTAGCATAGTGGTTGGCGTGCGTGATTTCAGTGCGTAAATATTCGGTTAGGCATAGGTTCGTACCCCCAAGCGTTAGGATTTTTCAAATGTATTTATAATAAAAATAGTGTTAAGTGTATAAAAAAATGTGTAAAGTGAAACTATCAATGAATTGTTATCAGTATTTAATATCTTTTGCAATTAATTATTATTTTTTTATTGATATTTGTTGAAATCTGACTGAATGATCGTAAAGTTTGATGAAATCATCTGATAGCGAAACTTCCTCGATTTCAAAACCAACTCCATGAAAACTGAGTTAACGAGCAATATACAACTAGTATTGTAGGAAATGGTTCATTTTTAAATAGTAAAATGTCAAAATATTAATCATTGTAAAATTTTAATAATAGACAGCAGTAAATTTATCTTCTATTACTAAATAACGTGAAAATTAAAAAATATTTAAATTGTTGATTCTTCGTAATCTAAATCATTTTCGTCATCAGTTTTCTTTTTATATTTTTTCTTCGGCTGCAGTTGATGGAATGAATTTTTCATCTTCAGAAGGCGTTGATCCTGTTTTTCTTTTTTAACCTCGTAAATAGGCTGCAAGTAAGACTTGTTTTTAGTATGTACCAAAACAATTATTTTATAATTAAAATGTATTTCTTATTATCATTTCCCCCTCTTATCGTTGCCATTCAAAACTCAGAATATATACAAATTCCAGGGTTGCCACAAAATTTTAACTTTGTTTTTCCTGACTTTTCCCTGATTTCCAGACAAAATTTTAACTTTTTCCCTGACCGTAAAGAATATTCTGTGATTCTCTCGAAAAATTATTAGACACTGAGAAAAATATTGTAATTCATTTATTTACGCGAATTTCTTTAATTGTAAAATTATGCGAAGATAACAATAAATTCTTTTTTAAATAAATATTTAATCACTATTATTTTTCCATAAAAATTAGGATTTATTTTAACTTCTTCACAATAATTTTTAAAAATACAATCACTAATGCCTTAAATATTAAATTATTATCCAAAATTTTAATTGGAATTAATTTTCAAAACAATTTTTAACAGAAAATTCTACGAGAATTCATTTATTTAAATGGAAAAATAAATAATTTATTCAATAATTGAATGTTTTTTAAAATTGAATTTTTATGGAAAAATTTATTAACAACATTTGAAAATAACTAAATTTAAGAAATGTAATTAAACTTTTACTTAAATTATATATTAAAGAATTTTATAACAATTTTTTGAAAATAATTGAATTATTGCAGCGAATTTTATTGAATAATTGAATGTTTCTTAAAATTGAATTCTTTTGTCAAGTTTTCATAAAATTTTTAAGAATAATTGCATTTTTAGAGGAATTTACTTAAAATTGTATTAAAAATATTTGAAATTCTGCGGTGAAAATAATTGAATTTTACAAAGAGTTATATGGAAATTCTTAAAAATAATTTAATTTCTGTGAAGAATTTTGTTATTTATCAAGATAATTGCGTTAATACTTGTAATAATTGAATAATATTAAAAAATTCATTCTTGTCAGAAATAGAAAAAAATTTTGAAGGTTTTGTACTAGAATTCGTGGTAGTTTCATAAGTAATCAGACAAACAGAAAAGACATAATAAATTCAAAAATTTTCTTATGAATTCTAAAAATTTAATTTTTTCCAGTATTTTTAATGAAAATTATTTACTTTTCCCTGAACAGTTTTACTTTCCCTGAATTCCCTGATTTCCCTAACCTGTGGCAACCCAGAATTTGGAATATACAAATTTTCAGATTATTAATTGTGATAAACTCCCGCAGGGAAAATAAGTGAGATCCCACATAACTTTTAGATAAGAAACCCGGTAATTCATTTAAAAAAATTTTTTTTTATTCCTAAACTTTCCTAGCCTTTTCTTTATTCCTAAAAATGAAAAATTTTAGGTACGAAAATCGATAAAATAATCATTGAATACTAACATCATCAGTATCAATTTCCTCCTCTGATGAGCTGTTGTCGCTATTATATTTCTTGACGTCACTCACAGGCGGAAAAGATATCCTTTTATTCATCAGTCGGTTTTTTGCTTTTAAATCACCTATAAATGTATAATAATTATTTATACTTACACCATTTCAAATATTAAACTTTGACAAAATTGTTTGATTACATTTGTATAAAATAACATTAGAAAACAACCAATGAAAAAAATAAAATTAAAAGATTTTAATAAATAAGCTCTTAAATGTAAGTTTCAAATTTTAAGTTTTAGAAATCTAAAAAACATAAATTATTTAAATTCAATATCTATTGTAAGCTAAAATACTAGAAAAAGTTTCGATTTGATTCAAATAATCCGTTATTTGATTAATATAAATAATAAATCAGTACATAAAATGATTCAAATAAGAATTAGAAATAAATAGCTATTTGAAAATAGTCAAGTAACTCATTTAAAAGCAAAAATTATTACTCCCTGGGTCTATGCGTCCAATGATTGCATAGCACCACTTTTTTTCATCTTTAACGCATCTCACTTTGTACTCCTTTTTCGAATTGTAATGATCTTTTTTCACTTCCAAATAAGATGACGGTATAACATATGCTCTTTTAATGCAGTGAGTTGAACACTGTCTCGTATATTTAACACAAACCCACGGCATTTTAAAGATTAAAATGAAAAAAAGAGCAATATCAAGAGGTTAAAACGTAAGGTGTCAATTCACGGAATTTTTTTTCACAGAAAAACAAAAGATGGTTAAATTGTAATTTCAGTGGAATTGTGAAAAAAGCTTTAAAGTCTATTCTTTTTTAATTTATAATTGTTAATTAATTTTTAAATTATACATCTCTTTATTAATATGCGTTTTATATTTTATTAATATGCCGAAAAATACATGTGAACAAGAAACTCAAGATTAGTTAAAATTTTACTTTCATTAAAATATTTTTATTAGGAATAAAGTGCAGAATAATTTTTATTAATTATTTAAATAATTAAATAAATCAAATAAAAGATAAAAAATTAAATAAATAATAATAAATTAAATAAAGTAATTACAATAATTATTTATTTAATATTCTTTAAAGATATTTTTTTAAATCACTCTCATATACATCAAAGAACATTCAATATTCTTCAAGCAAAACATTTTTCACTTATTATAATTTATTTATTTAAATTAAAAAAATTGTGCATGTATTCAATTATTATTTGATTTGATACTTTTAAATTAATTATTTTTAAAGATTAAAAATACAACGAAATTTTCTTCTTTCAAATTACTCAAATCTAAATTTTTTTGGCTAGTTGAAATCTTGCGCATAATTTGCGCCAATGTTGCGATTATCAGGTTCCGGAACAAGAAAATTTTTTTTACTTATACATGTTACTTTAAACGACAAATGAAGAAGTTTCCAACAGTTTTTGGGTGGGACAACATAACAGGGCGCTAGATAGGCAAATTCAAAGACTGTTATTTTAAACAAAACTAACTCAGGAACATGAAAAATGTTAAAACTCCAGTATGTTAATTAAAATAAAAACAAATTCTTATTCCAATAGTTTTTAGACGGGACAACATAACAGGGCGCTAGATAGGCAAACTCAAAGACTGTTATTTTGAATAAAACAAACTCCGGAACATGAAAATTGTTAAAACTCCAGTACGTTAATTAAAATAAAAACTAATTCTTATTCCAATAGTATTTAGACGGGACAACATAACAGGGCGCTAGATAGGCAAACTCAAAGATTGTTATTTTCAATAAAACCAACTCCGGATCATGATAAATGTTAAAACTCCAATATGTTAATTAAATTAAAAATTAATTCTACTTGCAATAGTTTTTAGACGGGACAACATAACAGGGCGCTAGATAGGCAAACTCAAAGCCTGATATTTTAAATAAAACAAACTCCAGAACATGAAAAATGTTAAAACTCCAGTATGTTGATTAACCCGTTGCCTGTTTCCGACCCACGGGTGGGTCGTGAAAAAGTATGGCTATAACTGTTTCCGACCCACCCGTGGGTCGTGTTAACTATCACTCAAAATAAATATAATTTGTATATAAATTGATAGATATTTTTCTTTATATCAATATTATAAGAAATTATAAGGGCCATTAATGATATTTTAGAAAATAATTGAATAATTAGTTAAAATTTAAATATATTATACTATTTGAAAAAGTATCAGATTCCGCTGGGCATGTTGGGACAATCATGTTGTATTTTCCTCAAACAGTTAAGGGGTTAAAATAAAAACTAATTCTAATTGAAATAATTTTTATTCGGTACAACATAACCGGGCGCTAGATAGTCATTTTGAACGTATATTATGATGTATAAAACTAACCCTGGAACATGTAAAATGTTAAAACTCCAATATGTTAATTAAAATAAAAACTAATTCTTATTCCAATAGTTTTTAGATGTTTCGGTGTTTGTTTTACTTAAAATAACAGTTTTGACTTCGCCTGTCTAGCACCTTGTTATGTTGTCCTGTCTAAAAACTATTGTAATAAGAATTAGTTTTTATTTTAATTAACATACTGGAGTCTTAAAATTTTTCATGTTCCGGAGTTAGATTTATTCAAAGTAACAGTCTTTTAATATGCCTATCTAGCGCCCTGTTATGTTGTCCCGTCTAAAAACTATTGTAATTAGAATTAATTTTTAATTGAATTTACATACTGGAGTATTAAAGTTTTTCATGTTCCGGAGTTTGTTTTATTCAAAATAACAGTCTTTGAGTTTGCCTATCTAGCGCCCTGTTATGTTGTCCCGTCTAAAAACTATTGGAATAAGAATTTGTTTTTATTTTAATTAACATACTGGAGTTTTAACATTTTTCATGTTCCTGAGTTAGTTTTGTTTAAAATAACAGTCTTTGAATTTGCCTATCTAGCGCCCTGTTATGTTGTCCCACCCAAAAACTGTTGGAAACTTCTTCATTTGTCGTTTGAAGTAACATGTATAAGTAAAAAAAATTTTCTTGTTCCGGAACCTTATAATCGCAACATTGGCGCAAATTATGCGCAGGATTTCAACTAGCCCCGTTCAAGAGATCTTTGATATTTAAAAAATAATAAAAATTATCAATTTCATAGTTTTAGGTTATTCTTGAATTTTCTACCTTCCCCTATTTATTTAAACAAGGAATTAATCAGCATGCCAAAGAACTCATTTTAACTTACGTCTTCAGAGAAACTTAGATTTATAGCGAAAAATTGAAAAAAAGACAAATAAACATCATTTTCTTGGTCCAAAAAATTTAATATTTATTAAAAACTTTTGCAAATCTCAAAAGTGACTCGTCTTGATAGATGAAATCGAGCAGGCAAATAATCAGCAAGCCAAAGAACTCATTTCAAATTACGTCTCCTGGAAAACTTACATTTTAAGTAAAAAATTGAAAAAAAAGACAAATAAAAATCATTTTTTTGGTCCCAAAAATTTATTTTTTATTAAAAAATCTTACAAATATCAAAAGTGATTCGTCTTGATAGATGAAATCGAGCAGGCAAATAATCAGCAAGCCAAAGAACTCATTTCAAATTACGACTCCTGGGAAACTTACATTTTAAGTGAAAAATTGAAAAAAAAGACAAATAAAAATAATTTTTTTGGTCCCAGAAATTTATTTTTCATTAAAAACTCTTGCAAATATCAAAAGTGATTCGTCTCAAGAGATGAAATCGAGCAGGCAAATAATCAGCAAGCCAAAGAACTCATTTGAACTTTCGTCTCCAGGGACACTTAGATTTATAGCGAAAAATTGAAAAAAAGACAAATAAAAATCAATTTCTTGGACCCAAAAATTTATTTTTCATTAAAAACTCTTGCAAATGTTAAAAGTAATTCGTCTTGAGAGATGAAATCGAGCAGGCAAATAATCAGCAAGCCAAAGAACTCATTTGAACTTTCGTCTCCTGGGAAACTTACATTTTAAGTGAAAAATTGAAAAAAAAACAAATAAAAATCATTTTTTTGGTCCCAAAAATTTATTTTTCATTAAAAACTCTTGAAAATATCAAAAGTGACTCGTCTTGATAGATGAAATCGAGCAGGCAAATAATCAGCAAGCCACAGAACTCATTTCAAATTACGTCTCCTGGGAAACTTACATTTTAAGTGAAAAATTGAAAAAAAGACAAATAAAAATCATTTTTTTGGTCCCAAAAATTTATTTTTCATTAAAAACTCTTGCAAATATCAAAAGTGACTCGTCTTGATAGATGAAATCGAGCAGGCAAATAATCAGCAAGCCACAGAACTCATTTGAACTTTCGTCTCCAGGGACACTTAGATTTATAGCGAAAAATTGATAAAAAAGACATTTAAAAATCATTTTCTTGGTCCCAAAAATTTATTATTTATTAAAAACTCTTGCAAATGTTAAACGTGATTCGTTTTGAGAGATGAAATCGAGCACGCAAATAATCAGCAAGCCAAAGAACTCATTTGAACTTTCGTCTCCAGGGACACTTAGATTTATAGCGAAAAATTGATAAAAATGACATTTAAAAATTATTTTCTTGGTCCCAAAAATTTATTATTTATTAAAAACTTTTGCAAATCTCAAAAGTGACTCGTCTTGATAGATGAAATCGAGCAGGCAAATAATCAGCAAGCCAAAGAACTCATTTCAAATTACGTCTCCTGGGAAACTTACATTTTAAGTGAAAAATTGAAAAAAAGACAAATAAAAATCATTTTTTTGGTCCCAAAAATTTATTTTTCATTAAAAACTCTTGCAAATATCAAAAGTGACTCGTCTTGATAGATGAAATCGAGCAGGCAAATAATCAGCAAGCCACAGAACTCATTTGAACTTTCGTCTCCAGGGACACTTAGATTTATAGCGAAAAATTGATAAAAAAGACATTTAAAAATCATTTTCTTGGTCCCAAAAATTTATTTTTTATTAAAAACTCTTGCAAATGTTAAACGTGATTCGTTTTGAGAGATGAAATCGAGCACGCAAATAATCAGCAAGCCAAAGAACTCATTCGAACTTTCGTCTCCAGGGACACTTAGATTTATAGCGAAAAATTGATAAAAATGACATTTAAAAATTATTTTCTTGGTCCCAAAAATTTATTATTTATTAAAAACTTTTGCAAATCTCAAAAGTGACTCGTCTTGATAGATGAAATCGAGCAGGCAAATAATCAGCAAGCCAAAGAACTCATTTCAAATTACGTCTCCTGGGAAACTTACATTTTAAGTGAAAAATTGAAAAAAAGACAAATAAAAATAATTTTCTTGGTCCCAAAAATTTATTTTTTATTAAAAACTCTTGCAAATATCAAAAGTGACTCGTCTTGATAGATGAAATCGAGCAGGCAAATAATCAGCAAGCCAAAGAACTCATTTCAAATTACGTCTCCTGGGAAACTTCCATTTTAAGTGAAAAATTGAAAAAAAAGACAAATAAAAATAATTTTTTTGGTCCCAGAAATTTATTTTTCATTAAAAACTCTTGCAAATATCAAAAGTGATTCGTCTCAAGAGATGAAATCGAGCAGGCAAATAATCAGCAAGCCAAAGAACTCATTTGAACTTTCGTCTCCAGGGACACTTAGATTTATAGCGAAAAATTGAAAAAAAGACAAATAAAAATCAATTTCTTGGACCCAAAAATTTATTTTTCAT